TCGGGTAGCCTAGTGGTTAAAGCGTTCGCTCGTCACGCCGAAGACCCGGGGGTGATTCCCGACATGGGTACAATGTGTGAAGCCCACTCACTCACTCACTCACTCACTCACTCACTCACTCACTCACTCACTCACTCACTCACTCACTACTACTACTACTACTACTACTACTGTACTACTACTACTACTAATGCTACTTGTTCTAGCAGCAGAATTTGTTGGTTTTGTAGTACAAAAAGGGTAGAGCGGGCATCGTTCAAACTAACTGGTGATAGCAGCATTTGGTGATGGTCAGTCACGCTTGGACATCAAACAACGTCTTGTATTGTAATGAACAACTTCACACCACTTGTATTGTAACAAGCTCAACGACGTCAAACACAACCAAGCGGAAGTCAACATTATGATAAACAAAACTTTAACTCCATCGAAAACATTAATAATTTCTGAGGAACGAATACAATGACTCAGCCGACAAGGTGATGTATCCAATACATTAAAAAAACCACAAGAGGTTGTTTCCGTTTCACTTCCGTGTTTAATCAGATATTACGTCCGGCTGACCGGAAAAGAATTTGGTGCGCTCCTGTATTCTGTTGCGGAGCGATGTTGACGTTGGATACACTTAGCAATGGCGCACCGGGCCTCCAGGAATAATAAGAATAAATTGTGAAATAAATCCCCCACTTTTTCGATTGTTACCACACGGCACGGGTTCAACACTGCCGGTCCTCACACAACAGCTGCCTGGTTTGTGGTTGTTCTTAATGCGGTTTATTAGACCTTCACAACAAATATTGAAATACGAGCAATTCCCACTTGTGTCAGCAACTCCTGTTTTCGGGATTGTGTTTAATTCATGAACGGGTTTAGAATTCTGTTCGTGATTATGTTTAGATTCTAGGCTTTATGTCTGTTATAAAGTACGGACCGGATTGTGAAATGTTTATTTTTCTAATCCTTTTGTTAATTCCTTCAGCATTTTCGATCACGTTGACATATTATTCTACTGACATAAAATCACGAAAAACAAATGTAACACAATGGGGGAAAATAAAAGAATGACATATCCTCCGAGATTTGAAAATATATAAAAAGAAATTAAGTTACTGTTCCTAGAAGCATGGGTTCTTGACGGGATAGCAAAATACAAAGCACGTGTTTCATTTATTTGTTTGTTATTACTTATTTTGTTTTTGCACTTTCAATTTTTAGTGACGGGAAGCTAGAGTACAGCTTAAGTTTGCTTAATTTATCTTGGAGACAAAACATAGGCCGTTGGCCTATCCGTCATATACTTATTGGATTTTGCCGATGTTTGTCATAATGCATATTGCGAAACAATCAAGTTGTTTCGATTATGACGCATTATATATACAATTTATTATTCGAAGGTAATCCTCTTTCATATTATTCTATTAGTATCACTTTAACAATCAGAGGGTTCAGTGTCCGCTAAATAGACTTGAGTAGAATCCACAATGAAAGTGACAATGAAATCGACACCTGTCAATCACACAAGGCTGTTATACAGATCTGCAGACAAAACAATCCGTGTACCTGACTTCGGGCGGTTTTCGCTTTCGTGGTTATCATACATGGGGTTACTGACCTGAACATTAGTAGGGAACCTTATTAATCTGGACATCGTTGAATGTGAAATCAGCAGATCGTCGTTTTAGGCAGGGTGATAGTTCAGGGGTCAAAGTTCAGGGGGTGGGATACTGACACATTGGTATTTTTAAAGTAATGTTTCATGATCAATCCACATTTCTAAAAGATCAACACCAGGGAATAAATAGTCTCTATTATCTGTCGAAACAAATACGCGTAAAAGGTAAATTAGCGGTGGAAAATATTGCACATTTACTGATTTTGTTGAAAATAAACGATATCCTATTTTGAATTACTGCTGTGCACAAATACAGAAATCTTGCTGCTCATGAGTGAAGACAAACGTTAAATATATATTCAGATGATGACTATGTCTACCCAAAGAGGTTTGACGAAATGAATATTCTCACCCTCAAATTTTCTTTCACGGTTGTTGTTGTTTGTTGTTTAAAGCCGGACTCAGCAATACTCCAGCTATGATGGCAGTCTGTAAATAATCGAATCTGGATCAGATCATCCAGTGATTGACACCATGAGCATCGATCTACGCATTTGGGATCGATGACATGCATCAACCAAGTATGCGAGCCTGACAACCCGATCTTGTTTGTCACCTCTTACTGCAAGTATAGGCCGAAATATTCCATAAAATAAGTATTAGAACATGTATATTACAAATACGACCACGTGGTTATATATCATGTAAATCCGTTGTTCTAATCCAGCCCAGACATAACATACTACACGAGAAGATGGTTATTACAAATACGGCCATGGGCTATGCGCGCATAGTCACCTTTTACGGCAAGTATGGGCCGAGATATTCCACAAAATACTGTATGAGAACATGTATACATGTGTTTTACAAATACGATCATGTGGTTATATATCATATAAATCCGTTGTTCTAATCCAGCCCAGACATTACATACTACACGAGAAGATGGTTATTACAAATACGGCCATGGGCTATGCGCGCATTGTCACCTTTTACTGCAAGCATGGGCTGCTGAAGACGTATTGTAACCCGGATGTTCACGGGCATTCACTGCTGTAAACAATCGAGTCTGGACCAAGCAGAGACCGGGAGCATGAACAGCGTTCCACGCCATCGGAGAACGATGGAACGGAATCAGTAAAATCATCGATTCTGAACACCCGATCCTCTTAGTGGGCTCGTGCAACCTATTCATCTGAGATATCAACAGATTTGACAATCTTGGGACAAGCATAATCTCAGACAACTTACTAACCTAGCTTTCGTGAACGAACAGTCTTTCTTGTGGAGAAATTTGACTTCTATATTTTAGCCGTTGCGCTAGACCAATTTCTTTTAAAAAATCGTTAAAAAGCTGCTGTTGTAACCGTCTACCCCTTCATTGCAGTGATTAGTAAATTAGTGTGAGGTGAGGTGAGGTGAAATGGGGTTTAACGTCGCGTCCAAGATTATTGCACTTATATAGCGACGTGCATGTACGTGTGTGTGTTTGTGTGGCTGCTTGTACTAGTCCGGACTGATGCCGATTTATAGTGCTAGCTCACTGAGTTACCATGCCGCAGTTTAACATGAATATCCCACTCAGACACAGTATACTGACTCCGAGCCGACCAGTCCTTAATTTAGCCCCTTAATGCCGAGCGCCAGACAGGGTAACAACAAGTACCATCTTTTAACGTCTTTTGGTATGACGCGGCCGGGGATCGAACCCCGGACCTTCCGCTCTCCGGGCGGACGCTCTACCACTAGACCACGGAGGCGGTCTAAATAAGTGTGAGCTTCATGGGTACCCAGTATGGTAATGGTACACTCATTGGTATCAATAACTACATTGTACAAACCAGGATTCACAGAAAACTTAACGAGTTTGTGCACTTTTGAACTTTTATCATTCTCAAATTACTTTAGAAAGTTTTCCAATATTGAAGGGTTGTAGAATCTTTCTAGAGCTTTGACTCTGTGTCTTTGACCATCACCCTCGACTGGTGTTACGTGTAAGAGAGAGCATGCTGACCCTGGTGTGAACATTGCTTTGTCAGGGTGTTTTGTTGAACGCCGTTTTGGACAGAGTGAGTGAGTGAGTGAGTGAGTTGGGTTTAACGCCTCTTTTAACAGTATTCCAGTTATATCACGGCGTGTCAGCTTAATGTGGGAGGAAAGCCCGAAGTGATGCAGGTCTCAGACGTTTACCACTTCGGTGAAATCCACGAGCACGGGTATGGTGCTGACAAACCTAGAAACATAATCGGGGCGAACCGGGATTCGAACCCACAATCATAGGTTTCTGGCGTGCCTAAGGGACGCAACTCTGCACAGCGAATCGCGGCGCCTTAGACGACTCGGCCAACCGTGCCCCCGTTTTGGACAGAATTGCAGTAACGTCAGTGCGTGGAAGCTTTTGGTGGTAGGAAAGCACAAAGTGATGCAGGTGTTAGACGTTTACCATTTTGGTGAAACCCACGAGCACGGATATGGTGCTGACAAACCACGAAACATTCTCAGGGCGATAAGGGATTGGAAGCCATGAAACCAGACGCGTCAAAGGGATGCAAACTTGCACATCAATAAACGGCCCCTTAGACGAGTAAACCACCAGTAAATAAACTTTGTTGCTATCAGTTCATAATTTCAATGTGAAGCGTTTGCCAGAAAGATCGAATTCGCGTGGATGGGAAAAGGAGTGCCAGACCAAGGATCGTACTCTAGTGAAATTCCATTCAAACAGCCGCGGATCCTAGCATGACTAGGTGACGCAACTCTGTGCGGCGATTTGCGGCACCTAACCTTGGCCACCTGTGTCCCCTACCGTATTTACGTAATGTTGACTAGGGTGATGAAGAGGTGAGGTGAAATGGGTTTAACGTCGCGTCCAAGATAATTGTACTTATATAGCGACGTACATGCACGATGACCTGCATCAACCAACCACTCGATCCCGTGATTGCCCCTACGACAAGCATGGGTCGTTGAAGACGACTATTGCTCTCATATTGGTTTCCCTTAATGGAAGTCAAGCAGCTAAGCCACACATTGTGTTCATAGTTGCGGACGATCTGGGCTGGAACGACGTTGGTTTCAGTAATCCACAGGTTCTGACCCAACACCTGGACAAGTTGACCATGTTGACAACGATTTTAAAAAGGCATATTCCATGTTGACAACGACTTATATAGGCATATGCTCATGTTTATAACGACTTTGCATGTCAATATATTATATACTCCTATATTTTATATATAATCAGAGACCTTGACTTTTCACACCACACATTCATAGATAAGTAGTCCTGATACCCGGGTCGGATGTGAGCAATATCGCTTAGCATTGTCACGCGTTTAGCAGCTAATGTCCACGTAACATCACATGTGCAGACCAGGAGATAAAGCTAGATGCGCAATGCATCGGTGTCGATAAAACCAGATCAGCAATACACCAGTGTCAACCATGAAGGCTGCACGCCTTGTTGCGACTTTTGCTCTTATTTTCGTTTCCCTTAATGGAAGTCAAGCAGCTAAGCCACACATTGTGTTCATAGTTGCGGATGATCTGGGCTGGAACGATGTTGGTTTCCGTAATCCACAGGTTCTGACGCCACACCTGGACAAGTTGGCCAAAGCTGGAGTCATCCTAAACTCCTCCTATGTGCAGCCCGTGTGCTCGCCATCCAGAAACTGCTTCATGTCGGGGTACTTCCCCTACCACACTGGACTACAGGACGGCGTCATCAGAGCAACCTCTCCTGCATTTGTTCCCATTAAGTTCACCTTCCTCCCTCAGAAGTTAAAGGAACTAGGATATAGCACCCATGCTGTTGGGAAGTGGCATTTAGGCTTCTGCAACTTGAAATACACCCCGACCTACCGTGGGTTTGACACCTTCGTTGGATTTTACATTGGTGGTGAAGACTATTTCAAGCACACAAGAAAATTTGATAAATATTTTGGATATGATCTACGCTTTAACACTACCGTATATACGGAACCGGAGGGTAAATATTCAACGCGCGTGTTTGCAGAAAGAGCAGTTGATATAATTAAATCTCACGATACGGACACGCCACTTTATTTGTATCTGCCGTTTCAAGCAGTACACGAACCTCTGGAAGTTCCCCCTGAGTATGAGAATTTGTACAAGCATATCAAGAGCATGGAACGAAGGACCTATTGCGGTATGATCAGTGCTCTTGATGAAGCTGTTGCTAACATCACAAATGCTTTAGAGGAAACGGGACTCATTGACAACTTGCTGCTGGTGTTTACGACTGACAATGGCGGGCCTTATTGGCGTTCTGCAAACAACCTTCCTCTACGTGGAGCTAAAGCGACACTATGGGAAGGTGGGACGAAAGGAACTGCTTTCATCTACAGTAAAACCCTTCTGAAGAAGACGGGCTACCTCAACACTGGAATGATGCATGCTGTAGACTGGTACCCGACCTTTGTGGAGCTGGCTGGTGGAGAGAACACAGACCCCAACATGGACGGGATAAGTCAGTACGACATGCTCATCAATGGTGGCCCGAGTAAGAGAAAAGAGTTCGTCTACAACATCTATGACAAGTCCAACTCCTCAGCAATTAGATATGGTGACCTGAAACTGATGCGAGGTTCACCGGGATCTCACAATGATTGGAATCCTCTTCCACAGTCTGGCGAGGGACCAGATGACCCTCCCCAGGAAAAGAAGGACAAGTTTCCTCCATATATGTTGTACAATATCACTTCCGACCCAACTGAACATTTCGACCTCTCTGCTAAGCACCCCGAGCTTGTAGCGATGATGAAACAACGCCTTGAGAACTGGGAGAAGACGCGAGTACCAGCTTATCAACCACCAGCTGACCCTAAATCAAACCCAGATCTCTATGGAGGCAACTGGAGCCCAGGGTGGTGCTGAATATTTTGTTTGGCGAACAAAAACCTAATTTCATTGACAATCGGCGAAAAGAAAGTGATTGATGCTCTTGAACCTCATCCCATCGATTGTTATGTTGTAATTACTTGTTTATTTATCTTTTAGTGGCAAGCCATAGTATCAATGAAGCCATGTCTGCCGTATCGATTTCAACTTGTTTATTCTTTCATTTTGACAATTCGTACCTTACAAGCACCTGGACCTAAAAGTCGCATTGGAAGTATATGTAGATTGACGCCCATAAGTCTTCATTCATACGTTAATGTCTTGGTCTTCTTTATACGATCAAGTTTCGACATAGCGAGGACGGATATTGTATCGGTAACTATATACCATCAGTATTAACGAACAGCATTGCTGATGTCGGATGCAGTCATGTGAGTAGCCACCTATAAAAACGAGAGCTGATTTTTCTTTATTTTCATAGTAATGTCGGAGTTATTCTTTGCATCAGGGGTGGAGTAGATTTATTCATACTTTTATATCAATTGTTGAATAATATTTATGGATCCGTATTGTTAAACTACTTGATTTTTTGTATCGAAATTCAACTAAAGAATACAGTAAACTACGGTTATAACGAACACGCTTATAACGAACTGACGGATATAGCGAACTTACTTTTTGGTCCCGACTATTTGCTGTAGTTATGCTGTATATATGCTTATAACGAACTACGGTTATAACGAACTAAAATTAGTAGTCCCTTTGGGTTCGTTATAACCGTACTTTACTCTAATATATCTTTTCAAGTAAAGTGGTGCAACAACAACACACTACTTTGTGTCCTTTTCCATGCTATCTGTACTAACGGAAAAAAGTAACTGTACTTCATATAGAAGTACATCTAAATAAATATATTCTGAAATAAAACTATGCATCTTTTAATACATATTCATAGAGACATTTCCTCGACTTTAAAGTCGTGATTCACAATTTGCACGTGCATGTTAATGCACGGCGCCCTACTACCTGATTTGTTGAATAGCAATCTATATAAAGAAGAAAGCTTTACAAGTAACGTAAATACAATTCCGTGTCCTTTATCGTGTTATCTATATCTATATGTAATTATAAACGACCAAACTCTTTCCATATTCATAACAAAGATCTGCCTAAAGCAGAGTCGATTGTACGATTCCGACTATATCATGAGCATGTGTTTATGAATCGCTACGACATAATGATGATACCAGGTGTAGCCTGCCCCACCGATGGCACCCGCCACAAACACATGCAAAGGCAAGGCAGATGTTCAACCTGAAAAATCAGTTTTGTTACTGATGCGTCAAATCTGGAAATGTCTTCCACATGTCCACATTAAACACTTTTTGCAAACTTTAGTGAGGCCTTGAATGTTGTAACCTTGATCAAACAACTTCTGACTAAGAGTCGTTTATAGACAACACTTTACGAGTGACGAGGACTGAATGGTTATCTGTCCCGAATGAAATTAAAGTTGTAAGTCCCGAACCAATTAATTTTGGCGATAAATAAACATTTTGATTCATGTATAATAGTACAAGAATGAATTCAAAATGACTTGGCATTGTTGAAACAAATTTCAAACACGTGTCGATAGTGTTCCGTCATCAACCTCAAAGTCACTAGCTCCCATGACTACGAAAAGAAAACCAAAACTCCTATCGGTCTGAACATTCTAAACAACAACAAACTGTGTAAAATGATTCTACAACAAGTAAGGTTTATTTGACTCTTTCAAGTGAGCATATGTCTTACTTTTTGTGGGACGGTCGGGTAGCCTAGTGGTTAAAGCGTTCGCTCGTCACGCTGAAAACCCGGGTTCGATTCCCGACATGGGTACAATGTGTGAAGCCCATTTCTGGTGTCCCCCGCCGTGATATTGCTGGAATATTGCTAAAAGCGGCGTAAAACCATACTCACTCACTCACTCACTTACTTTTTGTAACAACAGTCAATGTCGTTGTCTTTCGATCTCTCTCCTGCTGTTATAGAATTCGTTTTATACCGCGACTACGTTATTGCCCATTATAAGATATCCATGTGTTATTGTTTTTATTTATTTCTGAAATGCCTTGCATTTAGTATACAACGAGGGACTTGTGGTTCAGCCATACGCTTAAATTGTTCACTGGCTGTGTAATGTTCACTATTCTTCCAACCGAATTTCCGTAAATTTTCACAAGATCGTTCACTTTTATCGGGGAAAGGAATGTTGACACTGCTGTTTACGTGCAGGGATAGCACACGGTACAGTCAATCACATTACTGTACGTACAAATCTTAATTAGATTTAATGTTTTGTGTGCATTATCGTAAACAACATGTGTTAATGGATAAATAAAAAATATATATTTAGACTGCCTCATGTCGAAGATTTTAAATCACAAATCTTTTATGGCAGAAACTTGTTTGTGGGAAAAAGATGAATGAACATGATGAATGGGGAAAAAGTAGTTCCGGCAATGCGTCATTAACCAATGAAGTCATAGGATTTCTCAAACGGCCAATCGGCATTAAGCGATGAGCTGATTTATCCATATGTTCAGAGTAATCAGGGATGGAGTACATTTCATTAATTGTTGAATTTATTTATATATCCGGATTGTGAAACTACTTGATTTGTTGTATAGCAATTCATATATAACAACAAGAAACTTGCCCTTAATGCCGAGTGGAATCTGTTTCGAAAGAAAATCTAGTCTGATTATTTTCGTGCATTGATATTTTATATTCACTCGTAAAGTAGTCTGGTAACTATGGTGCATTGATAATTTATATTTACTGCTAAAGTGGTACCACCAAAATACATACGTTCGTGTCCTTTATCGTGTCATATATACTAGCGGAAAAAAGTAACTGTGCTTCATATAGAGTTCAATAAAAAAATATTCTGAAATTAGATAATACATCTTGTAATACATATTCATGAAGACATATTCTCGACTTGAAGGTCTTGATCCACAATTTACACGTGCATGTTTATGCGTGGCGCACAATTTGGATGTTTGTAAGGAGCATGATATGCATACACGAGTGTTTTAATGGGAAAAGCACACAATGATTGTGTAGCTGACAGTTGTTCATAAAACACCTTTGTTTAACCATAAATAACGCTCAGCAAAGCCACGACCTGCTGTAAATCAACGTCTATACGCCGTGGCTATTCTGCAAACAGAAATGGCGCGCAATGAAGTTGCCAGACATTTTGATCCTCATCTCGGACAATTCCTGGGTTGAGACCAATTAGTGGCAGAATCGTGCGCAACCGGTTGAGGGAGCGCATAACTTGGCCCCGACGTCTAGCGAATCACCCGACTCTGCTTCCACGTCTCTGGTTTAGACAGCATCTGAGGTTCAGAAGACAAGACTGGAACAGTATATATGCTGTTCGCAAATGAGTCCCGGTTTCATTCGGACAGCTCTTAGGACCTAGCAAGTGTCTACAGGTGTCCAGGAGCACGTTTCAGCCACGCTCACGTTACAAAACGTCGTTAGTATGGTGTTGGTGGAAAGTACAAAGTGATGCAAGTGTGGGACGTTTACCCCTTTGATGAAACCCACGAGTACGGGTCCGGTGCTGACAAGCTCGTGAAGCATAATCAGGTTGCACCGGGATTCGAACCCATGAAACCAGTCACAAAGGGCGTAATTTTGCACATCGAAATAGGGCGCCTCAGAGTGAACCACGGAGAAATGGCATTATGTGGTAGGACAGCACAACGTGATGCAGGTTTTGGAGTTTTACCAATTCGATGAAACCCACGAGCTTTATGGTGCTAACAAATCAAGAAACTCTATCAGGGCAGAGCATGATCGGAACCCATGAACACTGTCACGTCTAAGGGATGCACATCGAAATGAGGCGCCATCAAATACATCCAATACAGTCAATGCTAGTCTGTAATACTTGGCACGTCTTAATTACTGCAGTTTCCAAAGAAGGTCTCTAGGCTCCTTTTTATTATATTGTATTAAGATAAATTAACAACTATCTTTTCCCTCTGAGGTATTTTTATTTCAGTGACTAGTTAGTCTACAAGAGACCTTGACTTTTCATACCACACATGCATAGATATGTAACCCCGAACCTCGGGTCAGTTGTGAGCGATATCGAAGTGTATTATCACACATATAGTGGCTAATGTCCAACTAACATCACATGCGCAGACAAGGCGATAAAGCTGACCCCGCAATACATCAGTCTCGATAAATCCATATCAGCATATACACCAAACATGGAGGCTGCACGGCTTGTTGCGACTCTTATTCTCATTTTCGTTTACCTTAATGAAAGTCAAGCAGCTAAGCCACACATTGTGTTCATAGTTGCGGATGATCTGGGCTGGAACGATGTTGGTTTCCGAAATGCACAGGTTCTGACGCCACACCTGGACAAGTTGGCCAAAGCTGGAGTCATCCTCAACTCCTCATATGTCCAGCCCGTGTGTTCGCCTTCCAGAAACTGCTTCATGTCGGGGTACTTCCCCTACCACACTGGACTACAGGACGGAGTCATCAGGCCAACTTCTCCTGGATTTGTTCCCATTAAGTTCACCTTCCTCCCTCAGAAGTTAAAGGAAATAGGATATAGCACCCATGCTGTTGGGAAGTGGCATTTAGGCTTCTGCAACTTGAAATACACCCCGACCTACCGTGGGTTTGATACTTTTGTTGGGTATTACACTGGCGCCGAGGAATATTACAAGCACACAAGAGAATATGGCAAATTTTCCGGATATGATCTACACTTTAACACTTCCGTATATTCAGAAGCGAAAGGTAAATATTCAACGCGTGTGTTTGCAGAAAGAGCAGTTGATATAATCAAGTCTCACGATAAAGACACGCCGCTTTATTTGTATCTACCGTTTCAAGCAGTTCATGCACCTCTGGAAGTTCCTCCTGAGTATGAGAATTTGTACAAGCATATCCAGAACCTACCACGAAGGACCTACTGCGGTATGATCAGTGCTCTTGATGAAGCTGTTGCTAACATTACGAATGCTTTAGAGGAAACGGGACTCATTGACAACTTGCTGCTGGTGTTTACGACTGACAATGGCGGGCCTTATTACACTGCTTCTAACAACCTTCCTCTACGTGGAGCTAAAGCGACACTATGGGAAGGTGGGACGAAAGGAACTGGTTTCATCTACAGTAAAACCCTTCTGAAGAAGACGGGCTACCTCAACACTGGAATGATGCATGCTGTAGACTGGTACCCGACCTTTGTGGAGCTGGCTGGTGGAGAGAACACAGACCCCAACATGGACGGGATAAGTCAGTACGACATGCTCATCAATGGTGGACCGAGTAAGAGGAAAGAGTTCGTCTACAACATCTATGACAAGTCCAACTCCTCAGCAATTAGATATGGTGACCTGAAACTGATGCGAGGTTCACCGGGATCTCACAATGACTGGAATCCTCTTCCTCATGCTGATGAGACTTCAGATGTCCCTCTCCAGGAAAAGAAGGACAAGTTCCCTCCATATATGTTGTACAATATCACCTCCGACCCAACGGAACATTTCGACCTCTCGGCTAAGTACCCTGAGCTTGTAGCGATGATGAAACAACGCCTTGAGAACTGGGAGAAGACGCGAGTACCAGCTTATCAACCACCAGATGACCCTAAATCAAACCCAGATCTCTATGGAGGCAACTGGAGCCCAGGGTGGTGCTGAATGTTGTATTCTGTTGGCTACCAGGAACGCTACAGTTAATATCAGTGACAATCAATGACAAAATGCGTGATTGATACTTTGATCCCATTTTTTGTTATGTTATAATTACCAGTCAGTGTACGGTTGTTTTAATGACAACCCGTAGTATTAATGAAGACATGGCTGCTTTATCGATTTCAACTTTTTTTATATTGCGTTTTGAGACAGAGGTTTGCACCTTACTATCACTTGTACCTAAAGGTCGCATTGAAAGAATAAATCAGTTGAAATTTCTTCATTTATACGTTAATGTCATGATGATGTAATCTGCGGGCAAAGGAAATTGGAAACCGATGTTTGATGGTGGCTAAAATTGAAACAAACAAGAAATAGTTATTCGATGGTGAGATATTTGATACGAGTGTCATAGCTGTGTTTATGGACCTCAAGACTGCAGTGTTTCGGCTACTGCTGTCAGCCTAGTGACGTTTTGATAACGTTTGTATATCATCAATTTTCGATGTAGCGAAGACGGATATAGTACCATCAACCATCAGCATTAGCGAACATATTTACTCATATCTGTTGCATTCATGTGAGTAGCGACCTATGAAGACGAGAGCTTATTTATGTCGGGGTTAATCTTTGCATCCGGGATGGAGTAGATTTATTGTTGAAATAATGTATAGATGCGGATTGTTAAACTACATGATTTATTGTAAAGCAATTCTTGCGTAACAATAATAACACTTTACAATTAAAGTGGTACAACCACAATACACACTTTAGTGTCCTTAATCGTCTTATCAATATCTATATGTATACGACGACAACATAAAACCTAAATTTTAACCTTGATGTGCCGATAATGTAGGTCTTTTTATCTTGGCCTACTTCGATATCTGCCGGCGGTTTGGTTGCCTTGTACTTAATTCCTTCGCTCGTCATTACGAAGTCCAGGCTGGTATATATTTAGATACAATATGTGAAGACCCTTCTTAAAGTGGTGTAAAACTATTAGCACTCATTTTCATCCTTCTTATAACATCGGACCCGTTAAGATCCGGGGTAGAATAGGTCTCCAGCAACCCATGATTGCCGACAAAGGCGACTATGCTTGTCTTAAAAGGCGACTAACAGGATCGGGTGGTCAGGCTCGCTTATTTTGTTGATGCATGTCATCGTATCCCAATTGTTTAGATCGATGCTCATGGTGTCAATTACTGGATTGTTTAGTCCAGACTCGATTATTTACAGACCGCCGTCATATAGCTGTAACATTGCTGAGTGCGGCGTTAAACAACAAACAAACAAAAAAATCGTATTACATCGAGCATTCCACCCGGCACACCTCAATCCTATAGAGCATCTCGGCCAGCAGTCGGTATTCATATTGGAACTGTATGCACAGGTTTTACTAGTTCTCGTTACTACCACATTACACAACACAACATGCCGGCAGTTGTTCTATATCAAATAGGATCCCTATTTTGTATTAACAATAGAAACATATCTTTTATCAAAATCAACCATTGAACTATATGCGGGGTGGTCGGTTTGAACGAAACTTGCAGCTAAATTATGCAATAAAATCACCTTTGCACGAGTTATTATGTAGATAACGAGTAATCTGAGTGGGTCCGAATGCGAACATCTCAGAATGTCTGTGAAACAATCTGACTGGAGGGCACCTTAGCAATACAACCTTTTTGAGGAAAGTGGCGCCATTAAAACTTGTTGACTTTCTATGTCATATCATTGCAACGGTTGAAGAAGGAAAGTCAATTCATGACGATGTTTTTACATGACATGCAGAACATGGTTAAAAATTATACAATGCTAAATAGATGCTTAATAGCATATACTCAAGTATCGTATACTATTGTAACGACCACATATACCTGATGATGTATACCACATAAATAGTTGGAGAAGTAATATTTCAACTGATACAATCCGTTTATCAGGACCCTCTATCGAGTTCTAACGACTTACACATTTGATATGTATCCAGTGACTTAGTGTCATACAGACCCTGAAAGAAGTATATCTAATACTTCGCAAGTATTGTTACTGTAGTTTTCAAAGAAAGTAGCTAGGCTCCTTTTTATAATATCACATAAAGATAAATTAACAAATGCTTTTTTTCTGTAACATATTTTCATTTCAGAGACTAGATGTTTATCTATCAGAGACCTTGAGTTTTCGTATAAGACTTACAAAGGTAAATTGTCCCGACACCCGGGTCGAATACGGGCAATATCGCTGAGTCTTGTCACGCGTAAGCAGCTGATGTCCACGTAGCATCATATGTGCAGACGAGGCGATAAATCTAGATGCGGAATGCACCAGTGGCAACCACGGAGGCAGCACGGCTTGTTGCGACTATTGCTATAATTTTCGTTTTTCTTTATGGAAGTCAAGAAGCTGAGCCACACATTGTGTTCATACCTGCGGATGATCTAGGTTGGAACGATGTTGGTTTCCGTAATCCACAGGTACTGACGCCACACCTGGACAAGTTGCCCATGTTGACAACGATTTATACAGGCATATTCCCATGTTCTTGATAACGGCTTATATAGGCATATGCTCATGTTGACAACGGCTTATATAGGCATATGCCCATGTTGACAACGAATTATATAGGCATATGTCATGTTGACAACGAATTGTATAGGCATATGGTTATGTTGACAACGACATGTAGGCATATGGTCATATTGACAACGAATTATATAGGCATATGCCATGTTGACAACGACTTATATAGCCATATGCTGATGTTGACAACGAATTATATAGCCATATGCCATGTTGAGAACGACTTATATAGGCATATGCTCATGTTGCCAACGACTTAGATATATATGTATATATTATCTATCTGTCTGTCTGTCTGTCTGTCTGTCTGTCTGTATGTATGTATGTATGTATGTATGTATGTATGTATGTATGTATGTATGTATGTATGTATGTACATATAGATAGATAGATAGATAGATAGATAGATAGATAGATAGATAGATAGATAGATAGATAGATAGATATGCAATCAGAGACCTTGACTTGTCAAACACATACCTAGATATAAGTAACCCCGATCCTCGGGTCGGATATGAGCAATATCGCTGTGTATTGTCACATGTATAACAGCTAATGTCCACGTAATATCACATGTGCAGAGGTGCCGATAAAGCTAGATGCGCAATGCACCAGTCTCAATAGACCAGATCAGCAGTATACGAGTCTGCAACATGGAGGCTGCACGGCTTGTTGCGACTTTTGCTCTCATATTAGTTTACCATAGTGGAAGTCAAGCAGCTAAGCCACACATTGTGTTTATAGTTGCGGACGATCTGGGCTGGAACGATGTTGGTTTCCGTAATCCACAGGTTCTGACGCCACACCTGGACAAGTTGGCCAAAGCTGGAGTCATCCTCAACTCCTCCTATGTCCAGCCCGTGTGCTCGCCATCCAGAAACTGCTTCATGTCGGGGTACTTCCCCTACCACACTGGACTACAGGACGGCGTCATCAGTCCAACTTCTCCTGGATTTGTTCCAATCAAGTTCACCTTCCTCCCACAGAAGTTAAAGGAACTAGGATATAGCACCCATGCTGTTGGGAAATGGCATTTAGGCTTCTGCAACTTGAAATATACCCCTGTCTACCGTGGGTTTGATACCTATGTTGGGTATTACATGGGTGATGAGGACTATTACAAGCACACAAAAACATTTGACAATTATTCTGGATATGATCTACGCTTTAACACTTCTGTATATACGGAACCAAAGGGTAAATATTCAACGCGCGTGTTTGCAGAAAGAGCAGTTGATATAATCAAGTCTCACGATAAGGACACGCCACTTTATTTGTATCTGCCGTTTCAAGCAGTACATGCACCTCTGGAAGTTCCCTCTGAGTATGAGAATTTGTACAAACATATCCAGAACCTACCACGAAGGACCTACTGCGGTATGATCAGTGCTCTTGATGAAGCTGTTGCTAACATCACAAATGCTTTAGAGGAAACGGGACTCATTGACAACTTGCTGCTGGTGTTTACGACTGACAATGGCGGGCCTTATTACACTGCTTCTAACAACCTTCCTCTACGTGGAGCTAAGGATACACTATGGGAAGGTGGGACGAAAGGAACTGGATTCATCTACAGTAAAACCCTTCTGAAGAAGACGGGCTACCTTAACACTGGAATGATGCATGCTGTAGACTGGTACCCGACCTTTGTGGAGCTGGCTGGTGGAGAGAACACAGACCCCAACATGGACGGAGTCAGTCAGTACGACATGCTCATCAATGGTGGCCCGAGTAAGAGGAAAGAGTTCGTCTACAACATCAATTACAAGTCCAAATCTGCAGCAATTAGATATGGTGACCTGAAACTGATGCGAGGTTCACCGGGATCTCACAATGACTGGAATCCTCTTCCACAGTCAGGTGAGGGTTCAGATGTCCTCCTCCAGGAAAAGAAGGACAAGTTCCCTCCATATATGTTGTACAATATCACTTCCGACCCAACTGAACATTTCGACCTATCTGCTAAGTACCCTGAGCTTGTAGCGATGATGAAACAACGCCTTGAGAACTGGGAGAAGACGCGAGTACCAGCTTATCAACCACCAATGGATCCTAAATCAAATCCAGATCTTTATGGAGGCAACTGGAGCCCAGGGTGGTGCTGAAGGATGTATTTTGTTGGCTACCAGGAACGTTACAGTTAATATAATTGACAATCAATGACAAAATGCGTGATTGATACTTTTCATTTTAACCCCATTGATTGCTATGATTAGCCATTAATTAATGGTTGTCATGGCTGCCTTATCGATTTCAACTTCATTTTTCTTTCAATGTGGCGTTTGGAGACAGATGTTTGTACCTTACTAGCATATGAATTAATAACTAAACATCCACAAGTATTCAATCATACGTTCATGTCTTGATGATGTAAAATGTTGGTCAAAATAAAGTACACACCTCTGTTTGATGGTGGCTAAAATGAAACAAACAAGAAATGGTTATTCGATGGTGATATAGTTGATACGGGTGTCATGGTTGTGTTTTAGACCTCAAGTTTGCAGTGTTTCGGCTTCTGTTGTCAGCCTAGTGACGTTTTGATAGCGTTTGTATTTTTTTGGTCAATTCCAATTTTTAGGTGTACACTTTTTATCCCGGCAGTTTATATTCGAACAATTTCCGTTATAGTTCCATAAAACATAAACCATTAGCATTAACGAACATAATTACCGATGTCTATTGCATTCATGTGAGTAACCACCTGTAAAGACGAGAGAGATTTATCTATTTCCACAGTATGTGTGAGTTAACGTTTGCATCAAGGATTGAGTAGATTTGCTTGTTTGTTGTTTAACGCTGCACTCAGCTTTACGGTCTGATCAACTGATCACGGTCTGCAAATAATCGAGACTGAACCAGACAACCCAGTGATTGATATCATGAGCATCAATCTACGATAACCACAGTCCCCTCTTAAGACAAGACCAATTCTAACCTGGATCTTCACGGGTTGAGGAAGTAAGATTTATTCATATATATTAAGTATGTTAAACTAATTACTTTGTTGTATAGCAATTCATATATAAAATAAGAAAGCTATGCAAGTAAAGTAAATACAGTTTCGTGTTATCTGTATGCAAATAAAAGGGACAAAATACATTCCACATTAATAAGAACTTTCTGCCAACAGCAGTGTCGATTGTACGATTCCGACTACATCATGAGCATGTGTTCTTAAATCACTGTGAAAAAGTAATGATACCAGGTGTTCGCGAAAATGTGTACACTCCCGGTGGCACCGTCACAAACACATGCAAAGGCGAGTCATTTGTTCACCTGAAAACAACGCGAGAATATATCCTCCACGTGTCTACACGAAAACATAATTTTTGAAATCTTTACTGAGGCCTTGATTGGTAGCCTTGACCAGACAACCTCTTAAGAAGAGTTTGACGCTCTTTGCACTCTTTGAACTCTTGGTAAAAAGTGAGTGAGTGAGTGAGTTGGTTTTAACGCCGCTTTTAACAGTATTCCAGTTATATCACGGTGTGTCAGCTTAATGTGGGAGTAAAGCCCGAAGTGATGTAGATCACAGACGTTTAGCACTTCGGTGAAGCCCACGAGCACGGGTATGGTGCTGACAAACCTAGAAACATAATCGGGGCGAACCGGGATTCGAACCCACAATCATAGGTTTCTGGCGTGCCCAAGGGACGCAACTCTGCACAGCGAATCGCGGCGCCTTAGACGACTGGTAATAGTGCTCAACTTAAAGGGTAAGTTGACGTTTGGAAAGTAAAAGTCATCCCTTTTTTCCTACAGTCTTGTGGAGAGCATTTTGTCTAAATCTTTATGCATAGATCTAAATATGAAATATATGAGACGGTCTTACTGGTGCCCTTTATTTCTAGTTTAGACAAACTGAAAACCTAAATTTTAACCTCGATGTGCTAATAAAGCAGATATACACGTGTTTTGACCTAGGCCTATTTCGATATCTGCTGGGCTATGTGGTAGCCTTGTGGTTAATTCGTTGGTTCGGTACCTAAGTCCAGGCTCGGATATCCTTCCATACAATATGTGTTGACCCTTCTTGAGTTCCCCGCCGCCACATCGCTGAATAAAAGCGGTGTAAAAGTATTTGCACTCATTTTCCTCTTCATATGACATCGAGCATTCCTCCGGGCTCACCTCAACCCCGTAGATCATCTCGTCCGCCATTGAGGCAATCCATATTAGAACTGTATGCACTGGTAGTTTGTAGTCACTACCACATTACACAACACAGCCTCCATATTAAATAGTGTCCCCTATTTGTATAAACAATCATTTTTGATATTCGGTCTTTTCTCATAATCGATCGTTGAACTATATGCGGTGTGATCGGTGAATGTAGTTATGCAATGCCACCACTGTTGCACGATATCTTATGTAGATAACGCGTAAGGTGAGCTGAAATGTGTGTGTGCGTGCGTGTGTATGTGTGGCTGCTTGGACTAGTCCGGACTGATGCCGATTTATTGTGCTAGCTCACTGTGATACCACGCCGCAGTTTAACATGAATACCCCACTCAGACACAGTATACTGACTCCGAGCCAAGCAGTCACTCTTGTAGCCGCTTAACAATAAGTTCCAATCGTTTAACGTCTTTTGGTATAACGCGGCAGGGGATCGAACCCCGGACCTTCCGCTCTCAGGGCGGACGCTCTACCACTAGACCACGGAGGCGGTCAGATAACGCACACGCTGAGTGGGTCCGAATAAGAACATCTAACTATTTTAAAACAATCTGACTAAGGGGCGCTTAAGCAATAGAACCGCATTTGGAAAAGTGGCGCCATTAAAATTTGTTTACTTTCTATGTCATATCATTGCTTTCGCCGCAAAGAGCCACGCCACCTAATCATGCCAGGATCCGCGGTCGTTGGTCGTGTGTTTGCCGCATTTATGATCCTTTGTCTGACAATACAATAACCATCCTCGCAAGTTTCATCAAAGTGGCAAACATGTCAAAGTGAAATGAGGACAAAATGACAATAAAACCTTAGGAGTTATATCATTCGGTTGTTCACTCGTCTGAGTCGTCGTATTTGGGCTGTGCAAAGTTGCCTCCCATAGACGCGTCAGGGTTCATGGATTCGAATCCCGGTTGGCCCTGATAATGTTTCTTGGTTTGTCAGCATCATACGCGTGCTCGCGGGTTTCATCAAAGGATGATGCAGGATGATGAACCCGTTGAAAACAGAAAGTCAATGAGTGAGTGAGTGAGTGAGTTTGGTTTTACGCCGCTTTTAGCAATATTCCAGCAATATCCCGTCGGGGGAGACCAGAAATGGGCTTCACACATTATACTAATGTCGGGATTCGAACCCGGGTCTTCGACGTCACGAGCGAACACTTTAACCACTAGGCTACCCGACCGCCCCAGAAAGTCAATGATTGACGATATTTGTACATGACACGCAGAACATATTGAGAAACTATACCACCAGGAGGTCAATAGAGACAATAATCAAATATGGCGACACCTAGACCTGGCCACCTGTGTCCCCTACCGTACATAATCATGTTGACTAGGGTGATGAGGAAGCTGCCAATGGTCATAAGTAAGTTGACTATGGTTTGAAGTAACATGGATAGCTTGAACTGACATGAGAGCTGATTGATATGTGTTGATTGTGTTTGTTTGTTGGTTAACGCCTCTCTCTCCAATATTCAGGCTACAACTGTATCTGACGGCAGCCTGTAAATATTAGAGTCGAATGGAGACAGATCAGTGATTGATTGTATGCATAACGATCTAAGCCGTGGGGGTCAGACGAATCGGGGACAAATCAATTAAGTTTCAAATACCTAGAATTGAGTCTCGTTGAATATTTTATTATTATAACATTAAACGTATGCATGCTAATCTTACCAAAGACTTAATCAATTGATTTGTATGTCTGTCATACAGACCCTGAAACAAATATATCCAATACAGCTCATGCAGGTTTGTAATAGTTGGCAAGTCTAGATTACTGGAGTTTCCGAAGAGAGTCTTTAGATTCCTTTTTATTATATTGTATTGAGATGAATTAACAACTGCTTTTCTCTGCAAAATATTTTTATTTCAGAGATGAGACGTCTGTCTATCGGAGTCCTTGACTGTACATGCCACACATTCATAGATAAGTAGTCCTGATACCCGGTTCTGATGTGAGCAATATCGCTTAGCATTGTCACGCGTTTAGCGGCTTACGTCACGTAATATCACATGTGCAGACGAGGCGATAAAGCTAGATGCGCAATGCACCAGTCTCTATAGACCAGATCAGCATTACACGAGTCTGCAACATGGGGGCTGCACGGCTTGTTGCGACTTTTGCTCTTATTTTCGTTTACCTTAATGGAAGTCAAGCAGCTAAGCCACACATTGTGTTTATAGTTGCGGACGATCTGGGCTGGAACGATGTTGGTTTCCGTAATCCACAGGTTCAGACGCCACACCTGGACAAGTTGGCCAAAACTGGAGTCATCCTCAACTCCTCCTATGTCCAGCCCGTGTGCTCGCCATCCAGAAACTGCTTCATGTCGGGGTACTTCCCCTACCACACTGGACTACAGGACGGCGTCATCAGTCCAACTTCTCCTGGATTTGTTCCAATCAAGTTCACCTTCCTCCCACAGAAGTTAAAGGGACTAGGATATAGCACCCATGCTGTTGGGAAGTGGCATTTAGGCTTCTGCAACTTGAAATACACCCCTGTCTACCGTGGGTTTGATACCTATGTTGGGTATTACATGGGTGGTGAGGACTATTACAAGCACACAAAAACATTTGACAATTATTCTGGATATGATCTACGCTTTAACACTTCTGCATATACGGAACCAAAGGGTAAATATTCAACGCGCGTGTTTGCAGAAAGGGCAGTTGATATCATCAAGTCTCACGATAAGGACACGCCACTTTATTTGTATCTGCCGTTTCAAGCAGTACATGAACCTCTACAAGTTCCCCCTGAGTATGAGAATTTGTACAAGCATATCCAGAATGAAGAACGAAGAACCTACTGCGGTATGATCAGTGCTCTTGATGAAGCTGTTGCTAACATCACGAATGCTTTAGAGGAAACGGGACTCATTGACAACTTGCTGCTGGTGTTTACGACTGACAATGGTGGGCCTTATTGGCATGCTTCTAACAACCTTCCTCTTCGTGGAGCTAAAGCGACATTATGGGAAGGTGGGACGAAAGGAGCTGGATTCATCTACAGTAAAACCCTTCTGAAGAAGACGGGCTACCTCAACACTGGAATGATGCATGCTGTAGACTGGTACCCGACCTTTGTGGAGCTGGCTGGTGGAGAGAACACAGACCCCAACATGGACGGAGTCAGTCAGTACGACATGCTCATCAATGGTGGCCCGAGTAAGAGGAAAGAGTTCGTCTACAATATCTATGACAAGTCCAAATCTGCAGCAATTAGATATGGAGACCTGAAACTGATGCGAGGTTCACCGGGATCTCACAATGATTGGAATCCTCTTCCACAGTCTGGTGAGCGTTCAGATGTCCTTTTCCAGGAAAAGAAGGACAAGTTTCCTCCATATATGTTGTACAATATCACTTCCGACCCAACTGAACATTTCGACCTGTCTGCTAAGTACCCCGAGCTTGTAGCGATGATGAAAGAACGCCTTGAGAACTGGGAGAAGACGCGAGTACCAGCTTATCAACCACCAATGGATCCTAAATCAAACCCAGCTCTCTATGGAGGCAACTGGAGCCCAGGGTGGTGCTGAATGTTGTATTTTGTTGGCTACCAGAAACGCTACGGTTAATTTCATTGACAATCAGAGACAAAATAGTGAGTATAGTTTTTCGCCACTTTGAGCAATATTCCTGCAATATCACGGCGGAGGACTCCAAAAAATGGGCTGTACACATTGTAGACATGTGCGGAAACGAACCCGGGTCTTCGGCGTGACGAGCGAACGCTTTACCCACAAGACTACCCAACCTCCCCATTGACAAAGTGCGTGATTAGTACTTTTCAGTTGAATCCCATTGATTGTTCTGTTACCCGTTAATGTACGGTTGATGAAGTGACAAGCATTGTCAATGAAATTATGGCTGCCTTATCGATTTCAACTTCTCTATTTTTTCAATGTGGCGTTTCGAGACAGACGTTTGAAACTTACTATCACCGGTATCTAAACGTCGCATTGAAAAAATAAATAAGTTGAAATCCACAAGTCTTCATTTAAACCTTAATGTCTTGATGCTGGACAAAAGAAACGCGCCCATGTTTGATGGTGTCTAAAAATGAAACAGATAGGAAATGGTTATTCGATGGGGGTATATTTCATACGGTTGTGTTTTGGACCTCAAGTCTTCAGTGTTTCGGGGACTGTTGTCACATAAGTAACGTTTTGATAACGTTTGTAAATTTTATTCAAATCCAATTTTCAGGAGTACACTTTTGTTTGATTTATCCCGGCAGTTTATATTGGATCAATTTTCGATGTAGCGAGGACGGATATAGTATCGGTAAATATCTACGATCAGCATTAACGAACATAATTACTCATGTCTGTTGCAGTCATGTGAGTAGCCACCTATAAAGACGAGAGCTTATATCTTTATTTTCATTGTAATGTCGAAGTTATTCTTTGCATTAGGGCTGGAGTAGATTTATTCATACTTTTATATCAATTGTTGAATAATCTTTATGGATCCGTATTGTTAAACTACTTGATTTGTTGTATCGCAATTCAACTAAACAATAATAAATCTTTTCAAGTAAAGTGGTACGATCACAATACAGTACATTGGTGTCCTTTATCATGTTATCTGTATTAACGGAAAAGAGTAACTGTGCTTCATATAGAGTTACATCTAAATAAATTTATTCTGAAATAAAATTATGCATCTTGCAATACATATTCATAAAGACATCTCCTCCATATATGTTGTACAATATCACTTCCGACCCAACTGAACATTTCGACCTGTCTGCTAAGTACCCCGAGCTTGTAGCGATGATGAAACAACGCCTTGAGAACTGGGAGAAGACGCGAGTACCAGCTTATCAACCACCAGATGACCCTAAATCAAACCCAGATCTCTATGGAGGCAACTGGAGCCCAGGATGGTGCTGATTGTTGTATTCTGTTGGCTACCAGGAACGCAACAGTTAATATCATTGACAATCAATGACAAAATGCGTGATCGATACTTTTCAGTTTAATCCCATTGATTGCTATGATTAGCCATTAATAACTGGTTGTCATGGCTGCCTTATCGATTTCAACTTCATTTTTCTTTCAATGTGGCGCTTGGAGACAGATGTTTGTACCTTACTAGCATATGAATTAATAACTAAACATCCACAAGCATTCAATCATACGTTAATGTCTTGATGATGTAAAATGTTGGTCAAAATAAAGTACACACCTCTGTTTGATGGTGGCTAAAATGAAACAAACAAGAAATGGTTATTCGATGGTGATATAGTTGATACGGGTGTCATGGTTGTGTTTTAGACCTCAAGTTTGCAGTGTTTCGGCTCCTAAAGACGATAGAGATTTATCTATTTCCACAGTATGTGTGAGTTAACGTTTGCATCAAGGATGGAGTAGATTTGCTTGTTTGTTGTTTAACGCTGCACTCAGCTTTACGGTCTGATCAGCTGATCACGGTCTGCAAATAATCGAGACTGGACCAGACAATCCAGTGATTGATATCATGAGCATCAATCTACGATAACCACAGTCCGGTCTTAAGACAAGACAAATTCAATACTTGATCTTCACGGGTTGAGGAAGTAAGATTTATTCATAAAATTAAGTATGTTAAACTAATTACTTTGTTGTATAGCAATTCATATATAAAATAAGAAAGCTATGCAAGTAAAGTAAATACAGTTTCGTGTTATCTGTATGCAAATAAAAGGGACAAAAAACATTCCACATTAATAAGAACTTTCTGCCAACAGCAGTGTCGATTGTACGATTCCGACTACATCATGAGCATGTGTTTATAAATCACTGTGAAAAAGTGATGATTCCAGGTGTTCGCGAAAATGTGTACTCTCCCGGTGGCACCGTCACAAACACATGCAAAGGCGAGTCACTTGTTCACCTGAAAACAACGCGAGAATATATCCTCCACGTGTCTACCAGAAAACATAATTTTTGAAATCTTTACTGAGGCCTTGATTGGTAGCCTGGACCAGACACCATCTTAACAAGAGCGTGGCGCTCTTTGCACTCTTTGAACTCTTGGTAAAAAGTGAGTGAGTGAGTGAGCTGGTTTTAACGCCGCTTTTAACAGTATTCCAGTTATATCACGGTGTGTCAGCTTAATGTGGGAGTAAAGCCCGAAGTGAACGTTTGGAAAGTAAAAGTCATCCCTTTTTTCATACAGTTTTGTGGAGAGCGTTTTGTCACTCTGAATCTTTATGCATAGATCTAAATATGAAACATATGAGACGGTCTTACTGGTGTCCTTAATTTCTATTCTAGACAATCTGAAAACCTAAATTTTAACCTCGATGTGCTGATAATGCAGATATACACTAGTTTTGACCTAGCCCTATTTCGATATCTGCTGGGTTATGTGGTAGCCTTGTGGTTAATTCGTTGGTTCGCTACCTAAGTCCAGGCTCGGATATCCTTCCATACAATATGTGTTGACCCTTCTTGAGTTCCCCGCCGCCACATCGCTGAATAAAAGCGGTGTAAAAGTATGTGCACTCATTTTCTTCTTCATATGACATCGAGCATTCCTCCGGGCTCACCTCAACCCTATAGATCATCTCGTCCGGCATTGAGGCAATCCATATTAGAACTGTGTGCACTGGTAGTTTGTAGTCACTACAACATTACACAACACAGCCTCCATATCAAATTGTGTCCCCTATTTGTATAAACAATCTTTTTTATATTCGATCTTTTCTCATAATCGATCGTTGAACTATATGCGGTGTGATCGGTGTGAATGAAGTTATGCAACGCTTACACTGTTGCACGATATCTTATGTAGATAACGCATAAGGTGAGGTGAAATGTGTGTGTGCGTGTGTGTGTATGTGTGGCTGCTTGGACTAGTCCGCACTGATGCCGATTTATCGTGCTAGCTCACCGAGATGCCATGCCGCAGTTTAACATGAACACCCCACTCAGACACAGTTTACTGACTCCGAGCCAAGCAGTCACTCTTGTAGCCGCTTAACAACAAGTTCCAATCGTTTAACGTCTTTTGGTATGACGCGGCAGGGGATCGAACCCCGGACCTTCCGCTCTCAGGGCGGACGCTCTACCACTAGACCACGGAGGCGGTCAGATAACGCACACGCTGAGTGGGTCCGAATAAGAACAGCTAACTATTTTAAAACAATCTGACTAAGGGGCGCTTAAGCAATAGAACCGTATTTGGAAAAGTGGCGCCATTAAAATTGTTTACTTTCTATGTCATATCATTGCTTTCGCCGCAAAGAGCCACGTCACCTAATCATGCCAGGATCCGCGGTCGTTGGTCGTGTGTTTACCGCATTTATGATCCTTGGTCTGACAATACAATAACCACCCTCGCGAGTTTCATCAAAGTGGCAAACATGTCAAAGTGAAATGAGGACAAAATGACAATGAAACCTTAGGAGTTATATCATTCGGTTGTTCACTCGTCTGAGTCGTCGTATTTGGGCTGTGCAAAGTTGCATCCCATAGACGCGTCAGGGTTCATGGATTCAAATCCCGGTTGGCCCTGATAATGTTTCTTGGTTTGTCAGCATCATACGCGTGCTCGCGGGTTTCATCAAAGGATGATGCAGGATGATGAACCCGTTGAAAACAGAAAGTCAATGAGTGAGTGAGTGAGTTTGGTTTTACGCCGCTTTTAGCAATATTCCAGCAATATCCCGGCGGGGGAGACCAGAAATGGGCTTCACACATTATACCCATGTCGGGATTCGAACCCGGGTCTTCGACGTGACGAGCGAACACTTTAACCACTAAGCTACCCGACCGCCCCAGAAAGTCAATGATTGGCGATATGTGTACATGACATGCAGAACATGGTGAAAAACTATACCACCAGAAGGTCAATAGAGACAATAATCAAATATGGCGACACCTAGACCTGGCCACCTGTGTCCCCTACCGTACATAATCATGTTGACTAGGGTGATGAGGCAGCTGCTAATGGTCATAAGTAAGTTGACTTTGGTTTGAAGTAACATGGATAGCTTGAACTGACATGAGGGCTGATTGATATGTGTTGATTGTGTTTGTTTGTTGGTTAACGCCTCTCCCTCCAATATTCCGGCTACAACTGTATCTGACGGCAGCCTGTAAATATTAGAGTCGAGTCGAGACAGATCAGTGATTGATTGTATGCTTAACGGTCTACGCCGTGGGGGTCAGATATATCGGGGACAAATCAATTAAGTTTCAAATACCTAGAATTGAGTCTCGTAGAATATTTTATTATTATGACATTAAACGTATGCATGCTGATCTTACCAACGACTTAATCAATTGATTTGTATGTCTGTCATACAGACCCTGAAACAAATATATCCAATACAGCTCATGCAGGTTTGTAATAGTTGGCAAGTCTAGATTACTGGAGTTACCCAAGAGAGTCTTTAGACTCCTTTTTATTATATTGTATTGAGATAAATTAACAACTGCTTTTCTCTGCAAAATATTTTTATTTCAGAGACGAGATGTCTGTCTATCGGAGTCCTTGACTTTTCATACCACACATTCATAGATAAGTAGTCCCGGTTCGGATGTGAGCACTATCGCTCAGCATTGTCACGCGTTTAGCGGCTTACGTCACGTAACATCACATGTGCAGACGAGGAGATAAAGCTAGATGCGCAATGCACCAGTTTCAAAAGACCAGATCAGCAATACACCAGTGTCAACCATGAAGGCTGCACTCCTTGTTGCGACTTTTACTCTCATTTTCGTTTACCTTAATGGAGGTCAAGCAGCTAAGCCACACATTGTGTTTATAGTTGCGGATGATCTGGGCTGGAACGATGTTGGTTTCCGTAATCCACAGGTTCTGACGCCACACCTGGACAAGTTGGCCAAAACTGGAGTCATCCTCAACTCCTCCTATGTCCAGCCCGTGTGCTCGCCATCCAGAAACTGCTTCATGTCGGGGTACTTCCCCTACCACACTGGACTACAGGACGGCGTCATCAGACCAACCTCTCCTGGATTTGTTCCCATTAAGTTCACCTTCCTCCCACAGAAGTTAAAGGAACTAGGATATAGCACCCATGTTGTTGGGAAGTGGCATTTAGGCTTCTGTAACTTGAAATACACCCCGACCTACCGTGGGTTTGATACTTTTGTTGGGTATTACACTGGCGCTGAGGAATATTACAAGCACACAAGAGAATATGACAAATTTTCCGGATATGATCTACGCTTTAATACTTCCGTATATTCAGAAGCGAAGGGTAAATATTCAACGCGCGTGTTTGCAGAAAGAGCAGTTGATATCATCAAGTCTCACGATAAGGACACGCCGCTTTATTTGTATCTGCCGTTTCAAGCAGTACATGCACCTCTGGAAGTTCCCCCTGAGTATGAGAATTTGTACAAACATATCCAGGACCTACCACGAAGGACCTACTGCGGTATGATCAGTGCTCTTGATGAAGCTGTTGCTAACATCACGGATGCTTTAGAGGAAACGGGACTCATTGACAACTTGCTGCTGGTGTTTACGACTGACAATGGCGGGCCTTTTCACGGTGCTGCTAACAACCTTCCTCTTCGTGGATGTAAGGCTACGCTATGGGAAGGTGGAACGAAAGGAGCTGGATTCATTTACAGTAAAACCCTTCTGAAGAAGACGGGCTACCTCAACACTGGAATGATGCATGCTGTAGACTGGTACCCGACCTTTGTGGAGCTGGCTGGTGGAGAGAACACAGACCCCAACATGGACGGGATAAGTCAGTACGACATGCTCATCAATGGTGGCCCGAGTAAGAGGAAAGAGTTCGTCTACAACATCTATGACAAGTCCAACTCCTCAGCAATTAGATATGGAGACCTGAAACTGACGCGAGGTTCACCGGGATCTCACAGTGATTGGTATCCTCTTCCACACTATGGTGAGGGATCAGATGACCCTCCCCAGGAAAACGTGTACCAGTTCCGTCCATATATGTTGTTCAATATCTCTTCCGACCCAACTGAACATTTCGACCTGTCTGCTAAGTACCCTGAGCTTGTAGCGATGATGAAACAACGCCTTGAGAACTGGGAGAAGACGCGAGTACCAGCTTATCAACCACCAGATGACCCTAAATCAAACCCAGATCTCTATGGAGGCAACTGGAGCCCAGGATGGTGCTGAATGTTGTTTTCTGTTGGCTACCAGGAATGCAACAGTTAATATCATTGACAACCAATGACAAATTGCGTGATTGATACTTTTCAGTTTAATCCCTTTAATTGCTATGATTACCGGTTAATAAATGGTTGTCATGTCGATTTCAACTTAATTTTTCTTTCAATGTGGCGTTTGGAGACAGATGTTTGTACCTTACTAGCATATGAATTAATAACTAAACATCCACAAGTATTCATTCATACGTTAATGTCTTGGTGATGTAAACTGTCGGTCAAAATAAAGTACACACCTCTGTTTGATGGTGGCTAAAATGAAACAAACAAGAAATTGTTATTCGATACGGGTGTCATAGTTGTGTTTTAGACCTCAAATTTGCAGTGTTTCGGCTTCTGTTGTCAGCCTCGTGACGTTTTGATAGCGTTTGTAATTTTTTTGTCAAATCCAATTTTCAGGTGTACACTTTTTTATCCCGGCAGTTTATATTCGAACAACTTTCGTTACAGTTCAAGAAACTATAAACCATTAGCATTAACGAACATAATTACCGATGTCTGTTGCATTCATGTGCGTAACCACATTGTAAATACGAGAGTTGATTTATCCTTATTTCCATAGTATGTGTGAGTTAACCTTTGCATCAAGGATGGAGTAGATTTGTTTGTTTGTTGTTTAAAGCCGCACTCAGCAATATTCCAGCTATATGATCTCGGTCTGTAAATCATCGAGTCTGGACCAGACAATCCAGTGATTGATATCATGAGCATCAATCTACGCAATTGGGATACGATGACTTGCATCAACAAAGTCAGCAAGCCTAACCACCCGATTCCTTTAGTCGCCTCTTACGATAACCACAGTCCCCTCTTTAAACAAGACCAATTCAAATCTGGATCTTCACGGGTCGAGGAAGTAGATTTATTCATACTTCTATATTAAGTACTGAATTAATTTATATTTTCGGAAAGTGAAACTAATTACTTTGGTGTATAGCAATTCATATATAAAATAAGAAAGCTATGCAGGTAAAGTAAATACAGTTTCGTGTAATCTGTATGCAATTAAAAGGGACAAAAACATTCCACATTAATAAGAACTTTCTGCCAACAGCAGTGTCGATTGTACGATTCCGACTACATCATGAGCATGTGTTTATGAATCACTATGAAATAGTGATGATACCAGGTGTTCGCCAAAATGTGTGCACTTCCGGTGGCACCGTCACAAACACATGCAAAGGCGAGTCACTTGTTCACCTGAAAACAACACGGGATCATATCCTCCACGTGTCTACCAGAAAACATATTGAAAGCTTTACTGAGGCCTTGAATTTGGTAGCCTTGACCAGACAACCTCTTAACAAGAGTCGTTTGACGCTCTTTGAACTCTTGGTAAAAAGTGAGTGAGTGAGTGAGTTGGGGTTAACGCCGCTTTTAACAGTATTTCAGTTATATCACGGCGTGTCAGCTTAATGTGGGGGGAAAGCCCGAAGTGATGCAGGTCTCAGACGTTTACCACTTCGGTGAAACCCACGAGCACGGGTATGGTGCTGACAAACCTAGAAACATAATCGGGGCGAACCGGGATTCGAACCCACAATCATAAGTTTCTGGCGTGCCCAAGGGACCAAACTCTGCACAGCGAATCGCGGCGCCACCCATGCCCCCCTTGATAAAAAAAGCATGCTCGAATGTACCTCAAAAGTTACTGAATGTAGACACAAGGTGCTTGGGCTGCAGGAATAGTGCTCAACTTAAAGGGTAAGTTGACGTTTGGAAAGTAAAAGTCATCCCTTTTTTCATACAATCTTGTAGAGAGCGGTTTGTCACTCTGAATCTTTATGCATAGATCTAAATATGAAACATATGAGACGGTCTTACTGGTGTCCTTTATTTCTAGTTTAGACAAACTGAAAACCTAAATTTTAACCTCGATGTGCTGATAATGCAGATATACACGTGTTTTGACCTAGGCCTATTTCGATATCTGCTGGGCTATGTGGTAGCCTTGTGGTTAATTCGTTGGTTCGCTACCTAAGTCCAGGCTCGGATATCCTTCCATACAATATGTGTTGACCCTAATTGAGTTCCCCGCCGCCACATTGCTGAATAAAAGCGGTGTAAAAGTATTTGCACTCATTTTCCTCTTCATATGACATCGAGCATTCCTCCGGGCTCACCTCAACCCAAAAGATCATCTCGTCCGCCATTGAGGCAATCCATATTAGAACTGTATGCACTGGTAGTTTGTTGTCACTACCACATTACACAACACAGCCTCCATATCAAATAATATCCCCTATTTGTAAAAACAATCTTTTTTTTATAATCCACCTTTTCTCATAATCGATCGTTGAACTATATGCGGTGTGATCGGTGTGAATGTAGTTATGCAATGTCACCAATGTTGCACGATATCTTATGTAGATAACGCATAAGGTGAGGTGAAATGTGTTTGTGTGTGCGTGTGTATGTGTGGCTGCTTGGACTAGTCCGGACTGATGCCGATTTATTGTGCTAGCTCACTGTGATACCACGCCGCAGTTTAACATGAATACCCCACTCAGACACAGTATACTGACTCCGAGCCAAGCAGTCACTCTTGTAGCCGCTTAACAATAAGTTCCAATCGTTTAACGTCTTTTGGTATGACGCGGCCGGGGATCGAACCCCGGACCTTCCGCTCTCAGGGCGGACGTTCTACCACTAGACCACGGAGGCGGTCAGATAACGCACACGCTGAGTGGGTCCGAATTAGAACATCTTATTATTTTAAAACAATCTGACTAAGGGACGCTTAAGCAACAGAACCGTATTTGGAAAAGTGGCGCCATTAAAATTGTTTACTTTCTATGTCATATCATTGCTTTCGCCGCAAAGAGCCACGCCACCTAATCATGCCAGGATCCGCGGTCGTTGGTCGTGTGTTTACCGCATTTATGATCCTTGGTCTGACAATACAATAACCATCCTCGCAAGTTTCATCAAAGTGGCAAACATGTCAAAGTGAAATGAGGACAAAATGACAATAAAACCTTAGGAGTTATATCATTCGGTTGTTCACTCGTCTGAGTCGTCGTATTTGGGCTGTGCAAAGTTGCCTCCCAGACGCGTCAGGGTTCATGGGTTCGAATCCCGGTTGGCCCTGATAATGTTTCTTGGTTTGTCAGCATCATACGCGTGCTCGTGGGTTTCATCAAAGGATGATGCAGGATGATGAACCCGTTGAAAACAGAAAGTCAATGAGTGAGTGAGTGAGTGAGTGAGTGAGTGGGTGAGTGGGTGAGTGGGTTAGTGGGTGGGTGGGTGTTAGGGTGGGTGAGTGAGTTTGGTTTTAAGCCGCTTTTAGCAATATTCCAGCAATATCCCGGCGGGGGAGACCAGAAATGGGCGTCACACATTATACCCATGTCGGGATTCGAACCCGGGTCTTCGACGTGACGAGCGAACACTTTAACCACTAAGCTACCCGACCGCCCCAGAAAGTCATGGATTGACGATATTTTTTAATGACATGCAGAACATGGTGAGAAACTATACCACCAGAAGGTCATTAGAGACAATAATCAAATATGGCGACACCTAGACCTGGCCACCTGTGTCCCCTACCGTACATAATCATGTTGACTAGGGTGATGAGGAAGCTGCCAATGGTCATGAGTAAGTTGACTATAGTTGATTTGTACGTCTGTCATACAGACCCTGAAACAAATATATCCAATACAGCTCATGCAGGTTTGTAATAGTTGGCAAGTCTAGATTACTGGAGTTACCCAAGAGAGTCTTTAGACTCCTTTTTATTATATTGTATTGGGATAAATTAACAACTGCTTTTCTCTGCGAAAATATTTTTATTTCAGAGACGAGATGTCTGTCTATCGGAGTCCTTGACTTTTCATACCACACATTCATAGATAAGTAGTCCTGATACTCGGGTCGTATGTGAGCAATATCGCTCAGCATTGTCACGCGTTTAGCGGCTTACGTCACGTAACATCACATGTGCAGGCGAGGAGATAAAGCTAGATGCGCAATGCATCGGTGTCGATAAAACCAGATCAGCAATACACCAGTGTCAACCATGGAGGCTGCCCGGCTTGTTGCGACTTTTACTCTCATTTTCGTTTACCTTAATGGAGGTCAAGCAGCTAAGCCACACATTGTGTTCATAGTTGCGGACGATCTGGGCTGGAACGATGTTGGTTTCCGTAATCCACAGGTTCTGACGCCACACCTGGACAAGTTGGCCAAAGCTGGAGTCATCCTAAACTCCTCCTATGTCCAGCCCTTGTGCTCGCCATCCAGAAACTGCTTCATGTCGGGGTACTTCCCCTACCACACTGGACTACAGGACGGCGTCATCAAGCCAGCTTCTCCTGGATTTGTTCCAATCAAGTTCACCTTCCTCCCACAGAAGTTAAAGGAACTAGGATATAGCACCCATGCTGTTGGGAAGTGGCATTTAGGCTTCTGTAACTTGAAATACACCCCGACCTACCGTGGGTTTGATACTTTCGTTGGGTATTACACTGGCGCCGAGAACTATTTCAGTCACACAAGAGGATATGACAAATTTTCCGGATATGATCTACACTTCAACACTTCCGTATATACGGAAGCGAAAGGTACATATTCAACGCGTGTGTTTGCAGAAAGAGCAGTTGATATCATCAAGTCTCACGATAAGGACACGCCACTTTATTTGTATCTGCCGTTTCAAGCAGTACACGAACCTCTACAAGTTCCCCCTGAGTATGAGAATTTGTACAAACATATCCAGAACCTACCACGAAGGACCTACTGCGGTATGATCAGTGCTCTTGATGAAGCTGTTGCTAACATCACGAATGCTTTAGAGGAAACGGGACTCATTGACAACTTGCTGCTGGTGTTTACGACTGACAATGGCGGGCCTTTTCACGGTGCTGCTAACAACCTTCCTCTTCGTGGATCTAAGGCTACACTATGGGAAGGTGGGACGAAAGGAGCTGGATTCATTTACAGTAAAACCCTTCTGAAGAAGACGGGCTACCTCAATACTGGAATGATGCATGCTGTAGACTGGTACCCGACCTTTGTGGAGCTGGCTGGTGGAGAGAACACAGACCCCAACATGGACGGGATAAGTCAGTACGACATGCTCATCAATGGTGGCCCGAGTAAGAGGAAAGAGTTCGTCTACAACATCTATGACAAGTCCAACTCCTCAGCAATTAGATATGGTGACCTGAAACTGACGCGAGGTTCACCGGGATCTCACAGTGATTGGTATCCTCTTCCACACTATGGTGAGGGATCAGATGACCCTCCCCAGGAAAACGTGTACCAGTTCCCTCCGTATATGTTGTTCAATATCTCTTCCGACCCAACTGAACATTTCGACCTGTCTGCTAAGTACCCTGAGCTTGTAGCGATGATGAAACAACGCCTTGAGAACTGGGAGAAGACGCGAGTACCAGCTTATCAACCACCAGATGACCCTAAATCAAACCCAGATCTCTATGGAGGCAACTGGAGCCCAGGATGGTGCTGAATGTTGTATTCTGTTGGCGACCAAAACACTGCAGTTAATTTATCTCTGACAATCAAGTGATTAATACCTTTCAGTTGAAAATCATTGATTGTGATTTTACATAATTACATAATAATGTGTCTTTTAGAGGCAAGCCGTAGTATCAACGAAGGCATGACTACCTTATCGATTTTAACTTCTTTGTTCTTGTGGCGTTTCAAGAAAGCTGTTTGTACCTTACCAACCTCTGGACCTAAAAGTCGGATTGTAATTATCCATAAATTGACATTCATATGTTAATGTCTTGATCATGTGTATACGATCAATTTCGATATAGCGAGGACGGACATAGTACCGGTAACATTGTCATCTACCATCAGCATTAACGAACAACAAGGGGTCGGGTAGCCTTGTGGTTAAAGCGTTAGCTCGTCACGCAGAAGACGTATGTACCATGTGTGAAGCCCATTTCTGGTGACACCCCTTCAACCCCACCCCAACCCCACCCCACCCCAACCCCGCCCGTGATATTGCAGGAATATTGCTTAAAGTGGCGTAAAATCATAAAGTCACTCACTCACTCACTAACGAACAAGATTACTCATCTCTGTTGCATCCAGGTGAGTAGCCTCCTATAAAGAATATTTATCTTTTTTTAATCGTAATGTCTTAGTAGATTTATTCATATACTGAAACTCTTTGAAAACGCATATTCGATTTTTTGTGATATTTAGCAAAATGGAAACAAACATCAAATTAAGTTGTTCTGGCTATTTAGGCATGAGATAACTAACACAACTCTTTCGCCGTTCAGCCCGTATTGCATCCAATGTGTTTGAAGAGGGACTTGAGCAGAAAATTCATCTTGTCTGATTTCGAGTTTATTTTGCCCTTTTATCGTGTTTCAGGACTTTTCATATTAATAGCTGAATTATATATATCCGGACTCTAGGCTCGTATATACTTCGACAGAATATGTGACCCTTCCTGGTGTCCTCCACTTCCACTTTGATGAAATAAAAGCAGTGTAAAAATATCATCTTGTCCAGCATTGTGAGAATCCAAAGTTGAACTATAAGCACTTGTTTTACTAGTTCATGTGACTATCACATTACACAACCTGGCGGCAGTTGCTCCATATCAAATAGTATCCCTCATTTGTATTAACAATTAACAAATCTCGTCTTATAATCGATCGTGGAAATTTTGAAATATAGCTACTGTTATAACACGTAAATTTGTTTGTTTGTTTGGTGTTTAACGCCGCACTCAGCAATATTCCAGCTATTGGACGACGGTCTGTAAATAAACGTATCTGAACCAGACAATCCAGTGATTGACATCATGAGCATCAATCTACGCAAATGGGATACGATGATATGCATCAACCAAGTCAGCGAGCCTGACCTCCAGATCCCGTTAGTCGCCTCTTACGACAAGTATGGGTTGGTGAAAACTTTCTCTAACCCAGACTCTTCACGGGACGATAACACGTGAAATAACGAAACAAATCAAGTGGGGGCCGAATGTGAAAATGGGATTTGGAAAATAAGTTAATAAAACCGTTTTAGGTAAATTGACGCCATTAAAATATATTAATATTCTGTGTTATATCATTACATCTGTTGAAAGACAATTTTGACGATAGTTTAACATAACATGCAGAACATAGTTCAAAATTACACAACGTTACCACCAAAAGGTTAATTGAGACATACTTAAGTGTCGTTTATAATTTTAACGTCCACATATACCTGATGATATATAACACACAAATAGTTTGAGCAGTAATATTTTGATGAGTAAAATCAGCTAGATTTAAAACTGAATATATCATGTGAACGTGCCGTAAGGGACAGGAACCAAAACAATACAGAAACGTGAACATGATGCTGAAAGATTGCACAATATAAATTGATCGAATTCGTAATTTGCGTGTTGGTTTCTGTTCTTTACTAAATGTTAACTACAATTTCATTGTTTTCTGTCTCGGAACAAAACATGAAGACTTCTGAGACATCATTATGACTCTGACTCTCACTCTAATTGTAAGGACTTTAACGAGGTCACGGCTAAAAATTGCTAATTATATTGGGTTTGTCAATCCGGCACGTTCAACATGGTATTTACGAGTCATGAGAGACGCCAAATTTAGCGTTATGGTATTGGACGAGATTTCCCATTTTGACCTTGGGGATTTCAAGAGTCCAAAGGATCTCCTGATCACACGAAAGGGTTGTGGAATTGCAAGGATAGTAATCTCGCCATTTTAACCGTTGTTTAGAAACTCAAAGACGAGTAAACACTAGAAAACGATTATCTCATTTAAAGTATCTCTTGGACGTATTTAAGGCTTTTAAATTCATATTTCCATGTGTTGTTGATGGAATCTGTGAAGTGCATATCTCCAACTATTACAAACAAAAGCTATTTGAAATAGCATTCTCCTTTGTGGAATCCGTTTCCATGTTTCCGTTATGGAACATGTGCTAAGACACTTGTTTAGAATTGAAAAGAATAGAATATTCAAAAACGTGATTTTGAAACAAAAGTGTTGAGCAATTCTATGATCAAACGGTTTTTGCTAGCATGTTTCGAGTTTTTCCTACAGAATACAAACACAGGTAATTTTACCACCGTTGTTAAAAGGCGTTTTGATAACCACATATTGTCGTTGGGTTTCAGCAATAAACACGAGGTTCAAGAAACTTTTCAAATTTCATAACTTTTACTTGAAAAGGAATCAAATGAGTCACAAGGGTGCAAAAAGCGTTTCATTATATCACCGTCTTTCTTTAAAAAAATAAAAAAATGGTTACTTCTAGTCAGATAATGCTCGGCACTGAATCAAAGACTCTTTAAGATCCGTTTTGCGTGGATTAAATTATATTTTTGTTAAGTTGCCTGAAATAATCATATATCGCCAACTCTCATGCACAAATGATTGACATTTTCACTTCCACTCAAATTAAAGATTAAAGTCGGTGCACTCTTTCTGAAATATAATTATATACTTCTCCACTTTGATAAGGATATTTTCTTTCCACAATACTTAAAACTGCCCCCTGAGAGGGTATAGAAGTCCATATCATTCGAAGTACGTTATTCCTATCATAGTTTTAATCGTAGAATGTGTGTTCTTTTAAATTTTGGCTTAATTTCCTAATCGTCGCCAACAGCTTAAGGGATGATGTAAAGCCTGCTGGGGTCCATGCAGGTAGCAAAGGTATTATACGTCGCCATGGGCCCTAGGATGATTATCTACCTTCAGCTGCTGGCGATCTATAGCCCTTTTTATATTGTATTGTAATATATAGTGATATCTTTTTATGGTTGTATACTAGTTTTAAATGCTAATCTGTGATATTCTAGTAGTTTAAATATATGTATTAATAATATATAACTTCTTGTCTCGATATGGCTGAAATATTGCCGATGTGACGTTAAATATCAACTCAATCACTCACTTAAAACTGATTCTCATAATACAATGTATGTGAACTGTATATTTAAATATATCGGACATACCTGAGTATCCCTATTGAGGAGTATATGTTAAAAGTAAGCTAAAACGTAGGTAGCCAGAGAGTCGTTAGATCCGCTATTGCAGGTTGAAATGGCTTCAATACTGTCAACGTGGTTCACATTTTCAAATGAATGGTTTAAATCGTTCTTTAGTTAATTTCAACAATTGCACCAACATAGAACAAATGCTTTACACACAGCTGATGTGACATCATGCCAGATTGCAACATGTATGATGTGTAATGGACATGGTGTATGTAAGGACATTGACATAGACATATACGTTGAACCATTTTACATCCTTGACAGTTCAGGTAATTCATTTTGTTTGGTTAGATTACTTACAAGCTTTCAAAATAGTAATTTACTTACATTTGCAAGCACGCTCATACAGACAAGGTCAATGTATTGACTCATTTTACGGATATCTATACCAAGTGAGTTTAACATTGAAAACGCACGCACGCGCATAAGAAATACATATAAATACAAATAAAATTGAAAATGATTTTACCATATTTTAATAGAATAATACACAGACAGATGATTAGAAAATTAATAATAACCAATTAATAAATCAAATAATCTGTGAGGTGAAAGGGAGATCAGCTTGTGCTCAACTCCTGACAATGTCGTTCTTATGATGTTAAACACACTTGAAGCAAATGTATATTTTGGAAGTAAATTTCATATTAATTTCAATTAACAACACATCGTTTTATAATACATTAAGTACATAGATATCGTATCTAGCCATAAAAAAAAGTCTTGAATATCAGTCACAGTTGAACACTTTTTATGAAATCATCTCGTATAAATGAATAACGACGCTATCTTCGACTTCAGAATAAGAGAAATATACTTGACCAGATTGCAATAACTCTGACCAGGGAATTAATATGGGGACATGCATTGTGTCTATTCCACATGAGTAAGACCAAAACACTAGGTTATGTCAGGGATATTCTTGTTTTCTCCAAGATATCCGTGCTGAATTCTTGACCATGACCTAGTGCCTGGTCCAGGAGTGGGTTCTCGACACCTCGGCTTACTTTAGACTTTACACCTGTCTGTGCAACTAAACGTGGATGTGCCATTACTAAGAATAGGATTGGATTCTGGAAATTCCATCGGGGAAACAATCATCTTTGTATTCGCATTATGGGCGGAACTGCCCTTGCCCTTGTCGTTGGTCCAAACCACAAGTGTATTCTAAACATTAGAGATAAAGTCCCACTTTATGTAATCCAGGTGATAAATATCTAAAGAGAACAGTTAAGCTTTAATGCTTTCCCCTCCCTGTCGGGCACGTGTATAGGAAAACAGACAAAGGGTACACGGGTATGTGTGAATAATCTTGGGGGCACTGCTAGAATTTGCATCTTTGTGACATCCACTGGGGTGGTTACTGAATTAGTCCGGCAAAAGATACTTTGTTCTGCCCTAATTCTGCGGCCAGACGCGATTATTATGGAATTATCAGAAGAATGAAACCATCTTCCTCTGTGTGAGATGTCAAGCCATACCGAGCATTGTTCTACGACACAAAGACTAAGTTTACAGTATATCCGGAAATCACTCTCAAAGTATGTTCACAGTATATCCGGAAATCACTCTCAAAGTATGTTCACAGTATATCAGGAATCACGCTCAAAGTATGTTCACAGTATATAAGGAAATCCCTCTTAAAGTATGTTCACTGTATATCATACACTCACTCTCAAAGTTTGTTCACAGTATATCATGCACTTACTCTCAAAGTATGTTCACAGTATATCAGGAAATCACTCTTAAAGTATGTTCACCGTATATCATACACTCACTCTCAAAGTTTGTTCACAGTATATCATGCACTTACTCTCAAAGTATGTTCACAGTATATCAGGAAATCACTCTTAAAGTATGTTCACCGTATATCATACACTCACTCTCAAAGTATGTTCACCGTATATCATACACTCACTCTCAAAGTTTGTTCACAGTATATCAGGAAATCAATCTCAAATTATGTCTACAATACATCAGGAAATCACTCCCTCAGACGGCATAGAAAATATCGCCAATGTCCATTGCCCAGATAGAGAAACGTACTGTGTTGATCTGCATTATGAAAACATTATGAGATGCCCAATTTGTCAGGAAAGTGCCATGTTTATTGATCAAACATCCTCAGTGCATATTGTTCTGGAAATGAACTTTTACCTGATATCATTTGTTTGTTGGCACGTCAACATGAGTTTGTATTTTTTGCCGGAGAGCGAAGAGTAAATCGGAAACACAACCTAAAATAGAACCTTCGGATTTCCTTTTGGTTCATGCACGTCTAATAACTCCATTAATTAAAAATGTTTGGGGCACTTAATTTTAGATATAATTAAATGAGATATAGTTATGAAAGACGTTTTCACTTGTTACGAAAGATTTTTATATTACTTTTAATTGTTGAAATATTAATAACGCAGATAAAATACTACTTAAGAACAGGAACACCCCCTTCCCTTTTTGATCAGA